GGGGGGGGGGGGGGGGGGGGGGAGCTTGATCTAAGTTACGCAACTTCAGTAAGTGAGTAACGTAGCTAAAGTCGACGTACTTAGATCTACTTACCATGGGGTCCACACTATGCTATGTCGATGGGAGATGCTCTCCCATCGACTCCCCTTGCGCTTCTCGTTCAGGTGGAGTACAGGAGTCGATGGGAGAGCAATCTGCGGTCAATTTAACGGGTCTTCACTAGACCCACTAAATCAACTGCCAATTAATCGATTGCCGTGTGTCAATCCCCAGTTATGTGTTTGCTGGGATCAAGCTAGGCTACCAGATCACTCGAGAGTGGGATTGACTATGCCTATTTGGAAGGGTAAGGGTGATGCAAATGATCCAAACATCTACTGGAGCCTCACCTCGTTAAGTTGGCCCCTTAACATCCTTGAGACAGTGTTTTGGAGGCAAGGTTGAGATGAAAGGTGGAGGAAAATATATGAGAGGAGCAACATGGCTTTAGGAAGGAAAGGAGCATTACAGATACAATATTTGCAATGAGACAAATCTGAAAGAATGGTATAGCTGGTATGTAGCATTTACTGATCTTGAGAGAGTACATGACTTGGTTTCCTGGGAGTTGGTGTTTAGAATATTGAGATGGATGGGAAGTGGACTGGAAGAAGTGGAAATGACAGAGGAGCAATATCAAGAACTAAGGTGGTAACAATATATAGATTTTAGGAGAGTTTTGTGGTGACTGGGATTGATCTAGTGCAGTGGTTCCCAAACTTTAACAACCTGTGAACCCCTTTCACTAAAATGTCAAGTCTCGCGAACCCCTTCCTAAAAATGAATATTTCCGGGGATTTTCTCCTTAACCTGAGTATAAATTATAAAAGCAGTGATCTTGGAAATATAAAATTTGTTTTTATGACATGCTTATTACACACTATTTATTATTTATCATTACAGTATTTTTATTACATTATGAAAACGACAACACACTTCCAAGATCTCACTTTCATAGCTTGTATCACTTCGAATAAGCCTGTTATAAGACAAGGCTCCTATGTTTCATCATGGAGTATCAGATGCGAAACAGCATGAAGGTATTTAAGAAGCCAACTCAAAGAGTTCCTCCTACACGAGCATTCAGGTCTTGAGCACTCCAGGCAAACAATGCACATTACAACAAAGCTTAAACTTGTTCTTCATAATAATTTTAAAAACAATACTAGCTGCCTATTTAATTTTAAAAACAGCAAAAAATATCCACCTCCCTTTTCATTTCTTATAAGGAGTCTTGAAGTTTAAATCTCCTCAGTGTGATAGATATGCTTGCTTTGATCTGCTTAGCTCTTGGAAGTCCAGGGGCTCTGAGCTGCTGCCCCCGTGCTGCCCGGGGTCCCTAGGGACAGCTCTGTCTGCCATTAGGGAATTTATTTCCTCGAGAACCCCCTGTAACATTTCGCGAATCCCAGTTTGGGAACCACTGATCTAATGTGCTGAGTCCACTTCTCTTCATCCTAGTTATGGAGTTAATTAGTAGGAGAACTGAGCCTCTGGGGAGACAGAGAAAACTAATGCATGCTGATGATCTGGTCCTTTTAGCAAACAGCACAGAGGAATTGGTAAATATGGTATCACAGAATATCAGGGTTGGAAGGGACCTCAGGAGGTCATCTAGTCCAACCCCCTGCTCAAAGCAGGACCAATTCCCAACTAAATCATCCCAGCCAGGGCTTTGTCAAGCCGGGCCTTAAAAACCTCCAAGGAAGGAGATTCCACCACCTCCCTAGGTAAAGCATTCCAGTGCTTCACCACCCTCCTAGTGAAATAGTGTTTCCTAATATCCAACCTAGACCTCCCCCACTGCAACTTGAGACCATTGCTCCTTGTTCTGTCATCTGCCACCACTGAGAACAGCCGAGCTCCATCCTCTTTGGAACCCCCCCTCAGGTAGTTGAAAGCAGCTATCAAATCCCCCCTCATTCTTCTCTTCTGGAGACTAAACAATCCCAGTTCCCTCAGACTCTCCTCATAAGTCATGTGCTCCAGACCCCTAATCATTTTTGTTGTCCTCCGCTGGACTCTTTCCAATATTTCCACATCCTTCTTGTAGTGTGGGGCCCAAAACTGGACACAGTACTCCAGATGAGGCCTCACCAATGTCGCATTGGTATTAGAGTGGGCATCTGTGTTTGAAGATCATGATTTGAAAGTAAACTCAAAGAAAACCAAAGTTGTGCAAGGAGGGAAGGTGGAGGAAGAGCTGTTGATTGAAGACTCAGAAGAAAAGTTGAATCAGAAGAAAGAATCTGTATACTTGGGGATTACGCTCAGTGCCATCGGAGAGAGATCTGGAGAACTGGAAAACACAACCCAATATGCATAGGTGGCAGTGAAGAAGGTGGCAGGAGAACTGTGGGACTGGCAATTAAGTAACAAATTGAAAGGAAAATTGTATGCCCAGTTTGTATTTGTCCCTGACTGCTCTACAGTTTGGAAACAGTGGCTCTCCAAGAAAAGAAAATACAGGTAGTAGGAATTAATATATTGAAGAGAAGGGCAGGCAAGTGGAGGGTAGACAGAGTGAGCGAAGAAGAATTTAGGGGGAAGGTGAACTTGGAACTCTCAGTGATAACCTGGATAGCACATGTTTGAGGTGGGCTGGACATGTTATAGAAGGGAGGTGGAGAACAAGCAGAATGAAAACATGGGATGAAAAGGACAGCAAATAAGGACATAGAAGACTAAGGATACAATGGAAAAGCTATCAAGAGAAGTCTGAAAAGAAAAACCTGTGTCATGGACTGGAAGACGTGGTGAAAAATCACGGGCACCTCTGATCCCATGTAAATTGGACAAGGAGCCAAGAAGTGAACTGACATGTGCAGCAGACACAGCAAAATAGTAAAATATTTACTATAAGTTGTCAAAAAATTACACACAACATGCATATTAAAAATAAAACTAATATCAAATAAAGCAAAAAGAACAGCTTTTAACACTGAGCCAGTGAAAAAGTTATTTAACTACTTATATAAATTGTGTGTTTTCCCTGTATAGTTATCCAGATATATGCCACCGGTATAATTTTTAATAGGGATAAGTTTATCCACCAGGAGATTCCATTATTTATTAAACCATTTATTAATAAGAAGTGTTGCTACTAGATAACTACTTGGGAACTATAAGTCTGCATTGACAAAGGAAGTATTATGGCCATTTTCATGGCCCAAACGTGGTACTTCTCATCAATCAATACTTTTGACCCAGATCTCAAACTGCTTTACAGGCTATAAAGGGATCATTTCAGCCATGGAAATAGTGTCACTTGTACTGTCACTCAGCCAATGTAGTGTTTCTAGGAGAGGAAGTGAGGCCTTTAACTAATTGCTTGCAAGGCAGGGAGAGAACAGGGTTTAATTTCACCAAAATGATGTTACAAATTAGAGCTAAAAGTTTAAACGTTTTAATTACTGTTACTAGTGCCAGATTTAGCTTGTTCCTCCCTTTCCAAAAGCAGCAGCAGACCAACTGTTCCATTTTTTTATATTACTATTGTCTATACTATCTTCTGTCAGCCTAATTTTTATGACATGGTTCTCATGAACACTGTAAAAAACTCTTATAATATAATACTCTATAATAATGCAGTAGTGTTCACATAAGAATAAATGCAAATGGAAGACAGACTGGAGCTTGAAAAGGAACACACACTACTACTGCACTTAATCCTAGCAGTATCTTTTCAAAATTTTATTACTAAGGTAAAAAAAATAATTTAATTAATACCATGTTACAGTGGTTGTAGCTTCTTTAACTATGCTCCTTCTGGCGGGGAAAGCATGGTCCAGTATTTAGGGCACAGAACTAGGAGTCAGGAGTCTTGCGTTGTATTACTAACTCTCCCACTGACTATGCTACATAACCTTAGAAAAGTCATTTGGATGGAAAGAGGTTAAGTTTCTCCAATGGTGAAATGGGGATAATGAAAAATACTTTTGAAGTGTCTTCAAAAGAGGAGACGGTTTTGAAAACTAGGGACTTTCAACGGTACTTGGACAAAAGTGGGTAATTTGCTTTTAATACAGAACTTCATAAGATTTGTGATACAACACCCCCCACGTAAAGCTCTCTGTAGCCACACTATTTCCTTGTAGAAATTTGAAGTTATATTTTCCCCCTTTTTCCAGTTCCTTGCTCTCTCCAAACAAATTGTTGAACTAAAATCCATGGGGAATTTAACGTCAGAGGAGATGTCAGCAGTACAGGGACAGGGTTCTTTCACATTTTGCCAGTTCCTAAGTACTTTTATTCTAGTTCAGTAGGAAATTCAAACCAAGGTTTTCTTACAACCCTCATACCATTACACAACTAGCAATATAGAAGCAGGTGAACCAAACTTTACTGGAATCTCAAGTATTAGCTTTTACCAGGTGGTGGAGGGCAGGGTCTTGTAGGAGTTCCAGTCTTGGGGGGCAAAGCAGGAGGAATATCCTCATTTTTAGCCGGTGGTTCCTCAAATATGTTTTTAGTTATGACCACATTGTTTACAGAGCCTGATGTGGAGGAAATAAAGGGATCTTCATTGTTGGCCTATTTTTTAAAAAAGGGAAAAATGCTATATTACAATTTTCTTCAGCATAGTGAAATTCTACTCCCCCCTCCTTTCTTCCAGAAAGCAATACTTACCACGATTAGAAAAAACAGTGAAGATGCAAGCAAATCAGGAAATGGTCATAATTCCTCTGTGGTGCACAATACTAGATTAGTATTATTAACTACTTATATTATGGTAGCACTCAAAAGGCCAAATCAGGCCCCATTTCACTGAGTACTGTACAAACAGAGAAAAGAGACTCCCTGCTCTGAAGAGCTTAGCATATGGAGAATAGTATAGCATGCTCCATATAAAAATTACTTGTTCCCTCTCCTTGTACCGAATGATTGAAGACAACAAGCCCAGAAAACAGTGCAAGGTGCCTACAAGATAAATATACTTCCCCACAGTTACCACAGCAGTCCACAATATAAGGAAGATTAAGAGTTAGTGAGAAAAGTGGCAGCTCAAAATGAAAGTACAAGAGAACCTTAGAATTTCACTAAAACTAGCAAAGTGTCCTCAGGTTATTAGCTGAAGAAATAATCTCAACATACACCATTGGTGAAGATACCAGCTTAATACTACAAGTCTGCTGTAAGGAAAGAGACCAATGCTTTGTGCGTGGGAGTGAAATAGAATTCACGACTCGGGACTACAAAAAGCTACAAAGGTAATCCTGGCACCAGCTTCTGTCTAATCAACCACTTCCTCTCATGTACCACTAACTCATTGTTAGAACTCATACATAGCACATTATGAAGGGACATCTCCTCAAAGATTCCACTATCTGACCAACATGGAGGGTTTTTTTGCATTGTGATTATCGCACACAGTATTGGGGCATGCAATTAGTAAATTCCTTCTCAGACCCAGAGGTAGGACACTAAGGCCATGCCTACACTAGGACAAGGTGTGTTTTTAAAATCAGGATCTTTAACACATATTAAAATCCTTGGATGAGATAGATCCTGGCTTAACTGAGATCAATGGCAAAATTTGCACTGATTTCAATGGGCCAGTATTTCATCCATCATGGGCAAACCAGTAATATATGTTAAAACTACAGCTTGCTCTCTCAACATTAGGATCTTGAAACGTGTTAGCAATTACATTTTAACCTACACTGCTTCCCCCTCCCCCCTCCATGCCAACATACCCAAAATGGATGTCTGTATGAGAACCAATTCAAAAAAAATCAATGTAACTAGTACCAATGTGACAGCAGCAAACAACTGAGGCAGCTACACAACCAAATAAGCTGAAGGTAACTAGCCTGTGAGCCAAGACTGGGAGAGGTGTGGTTTAAAAAAAAAAAAAAAAAAAAGGTTTTCTAACATGGAAAAAAATAATTTACTTTTAAAGTTGCAACAATCTGAACTGCTACAATAAAATGTTTACAACAGCATTCATCACAGGGGTATTGCAAGGCACATTACTGCTAGAACCCCTTTCAGAAAAATCAACTTTTGTCAATTTTTATTGGACAGTAAAAACAGAATACCAGCTGAATAGTTCTATAACTGAAAACACTAGATCTTCTTTGTGTTTCAGTTCCTGCAGCATTTTATGCCTTTTCCACATATGTTAATCATTTCAGATTACCTTTGACAATGTGCTAAAGTCAGCAAAACTGCTTCCAAATGACTCGTTTCCAAATAGAGAGGAAAAGGGATCTGTAGCTAAAATAAGCAGAGAACAAACAGAACAGTATAGAAAAGCCAAACGTTACATTCTGTTTCAATGAAAAACAACATGAAAGGCACGTGCCCTGTTTAGTCCAAACTGTATTTCCCAAATTGTATAATCATGTAAAAAGCTACACAAAATGTATATTTAACATTTCTGTAACTATTTCAACTAAAATCTCTTTAAAAGGTGAATGCTTTTATTGCTAGAGTTGTTTCAGTAGAAATATTTTTACTTTCATAAAATTAGCAAATGCTATTTACCAATATTAAATAAATACTCATTCCTCCGGACAGACAGTTTTTTCAGGAAATAGCACTGCGATACTCCAGTTTTCTACGCAGAAAAAGCAGAATCCAAGTCTATCAATGGAAATACTCAAAGCTATAGCATCAATAACCGAAGCTCTGTACATTTTGCAGCAAAATATTTTAACACAGAAAAGGACAGGAAGTTTAGATTTTTTTTTTAAAAAGCAAGCTTCCTGTGACTTTTCTGTGTGGAGTAAAATGCAACACCCTCATTATTATTCACCTTGAATCTCCCTATCCCTTTGGATTCTCGAATTCAACAGTCTCCTTCTCACAAGTAGGTGCTTTGAACAGTCTGGGCAAACGTGGCTGAGAGAGTAAGGTCTTCACAAAGCCCGTCTGCATTTACACTGTTTAAGGGAAGTTCATACATTTATACCTTGTCTGGCACACTTAGACAAGAAACTGTTACTAACTTTTTACTGTAACTGCTGTTCTCTGAGATGTGTTGCACAGGTCCATTCCACTGTAGGTGTGCATGTGCCCTGTGCACAGCTGACAGAGATTTTTCCCTCTGAGTCCCCTCTGCTGCCTTTCACCACTGTGCACGGGCATAATGGGCAGAGCTGCCCCCAACCCTCCTCAGTTCCTTCCAACTGGATAGACTCTGACAGAGAGGGGAAGGAGGGAGTGTAGTGGAATGGACATGTGCAACACATCTCGAAAAGCAACAGTTCTTCTTCGCATGATTGCACATGTTCTTTACACTTTAGGTGACTCAGAAAGCATTTCAAACTGGAGATCAACTCAGTCGACTTGATTGCAGGACTCAGGTATTGCAGGACAACCCTTCCAAATCTGGCACTATCTCTGGATGGATGAGAGATGGCATCGTGAGAGGGAAAAGTATAGACTGATGACCAATTTGCCACCTTACAAATGTCTAAGATGGGCATATGAGCCAGAAAGGTCATAGAAGCTGCCTGAGAGCCAGTTGAATGGGCCAACACTCTACTTGGCGGTGCAACATCAGCCAATCAGTAGCATAAACCAATACAGCTGGAAATCCAAGCAGAGATCCTTTGGGAGGACTCTGGATGGGCCTGTAGTTTGTCCACAAACCACAATTAAGAGTTGAGTGGAAGACCTAAATGGCAGAGTCCAATAAAGGTAAAAAGCCAAAGCTTTTCTAACATCTAGAGTATGAAGCTTGTCTTTACTTTTATTTGAACGAGACTTTGGAAAGAAAGTCAGTACTTAAATTGTTTGGTTAATATGAAAACTGGAAGCCACTAAAGTCAAGATCAGGTGAGGTCGAAGGTAAACCTTATCTCTAAAGATCGTGTAGGGAGTTTCTGACTAAGGCTAGCAATTCCCCACTCTCCTGGCCAAGGCAATAGCAACCAAAAAAAGCCACCTTCATAGAAAGGAGTAACAGAACAGGTCACCAGCAGCTCAGAGGGGGGAGCCATCACGTTTGCTAGATCTAAATTTAAGTTCCACGGGGCGACTAGGCGATGTACCTCTGGATATAATCTGTCCAAATCCTTCAGAAACCTAATAGACATCGTAATGGAAAAAAGCGAGTGGTTATCCACAGGAGAGTGGAAAGATGTGATAACTGCTTGGTGGATTCTGATGGAACTAACAGCTAACCCCTGTTGTTGCGGAAACAAGAGATAGTTCACTGTATGCTGAATAGGAACCCTGAGCTGGGGAAATATATTTTCTGTCTGGACCAAATGGAGAATTTTTCTCATTTAGCAAAATAAGTAGTCCTAAATTGAAGGCTTGCTACTATTTAGAATGACTTCCTGCACTCCCTGAACAAGATCTTGGACAGGGGCAGAATTAGAGGGAAGGAATACAGCAGGCCCTTCAACCAGGTTAGCAGGAAGGCATCTGTCAACAAACCCAGGCTGTGGCACACTCCAGAACAACAACAACAACAACAAAATGATGATTTTTTGTTTGCTTTTGTTGCAAATAGGTCCATTTGGGGAGTCCCCCACAGCAGGAAAATGGACCTGGTTACATCTGGATGAAGAGACTACTCGTGGTGACTTGTGAATGACCAGCTTAGGTGATCTACCAGAGCATCCTGAATCCCTAGAAGGTAAGCAGTTTCCAGGTTGATGGAACTGGCAATGCAGAAATTCCAAAGCAGAATCGCCTCTTGGCATAATTTCATCAACCTGTCCCCCACTTGTTTGTTTCAAATAAATAAAATAAATAAATAAAATTAATGGAGATATCCTATCTCCTAGAACTGGAAGGGACCCTGAAAGGTCATCGAGTCCAGCCCCCTGCCTTCACTAGCAGGATCAAGTACTGATTTTGCCCCAGATCCCTAAATGGCCTCCTCAAGGATTGAACTCACAACCCTGGGTTTAGCAGGCCAATGCTCAAACCACTGAGCTATCCCTCCACAGAACATGGCTGCTGTGTTGTCTGCGAGCACCGACCCTGAATAAGCATAAAATCCAAATGGATGGCCTGAAGCTCCCTGACATCTAGATCTTTAGATCTTGCACAGTCCAAAGATCTTGTGTCTATAAAGGACTTAAGTGAACTCCCCAATCCAAAGCCTAACACATCCGTGACTAGGGTGTCTCTTGCAGAGAAGCAGTGGGGACCCCCATGCAAACATTCAAGGGTTCTGTCCACCAGTCCAAGGAGGACAAGACCTGAGTAGGCACTTTAATCACCATCTTCATATGATGACAGGCCAGTGAATACACTAAGGTGAACAACCCTGTCTCTTTGAAGTGCAGCCTGGCATGCTGCCCACGTAAGGGCACACTGCCATGTACTCTTGAAGCTTAAGACAGTTTTGTACTCTAGTGACAGGAGGCGTCTTTGTATCTAGAGCAAAAACACACATTGTTTGGAATCTCAACCCCAGCAGGAAAACTTTGGCCTTCGTAGAATCCAGGACAGCCCCATTAAATCCTGTTCTCTGAACAGGAGACAGGGTAGATTTCACCCTATTGATCAGAGGTCACAGTGTGTCAAAGGTGGTCTGAGTCCTGGAATAACCTAAAATGTACAAAACAGGTGCTATTTACACTAAAGAGGGTAGGACTAGCAAATGCAAAGACAGCAGCTCCAACAACAGTCATGGGCAGTAGGAAGGAACTGAGAGTCATAGGGGGTGGCTCCATCCTTTATACTTGGGCACTTGTGCTGCCCTGAGGGGTACTAGTGAGGGGAAAAATCTCTGACAACTGTGCAGGAGGGATGCACACACCTACAGTGGAATGGACTTATGTAATTACTTGAAGAAGCAGCTTTAGATACAATGTAGCTAGGAATAGTCTATAATTTAACGTTGCTATATAAATTCATAATCAAATAAGTGTTAAAGCCTATAAAACTAAAAAAGAATAAAATGGATTACAAATTAAAATAATTAAAAGGATGTATATAATCTCACTTCTTTACCTAGATCATTTGGTGCAGAAACAGCTGTTCCACCAGGAGCAAAAGGATCATTGTTCTTCAGTGTTTCTGTCTAAAAATGAGAAAATTCCTTTGACGAAGACTTGTTTTCTGCAGCTTGAAAAATAATCCCCAACATTCCCCTATCCCATCTCTAGCAAAAAATTGAGCTTCACCTCAAGACAAAAGATCATGTTTGTTGATCAATGCTATCACTGTCAATTTTTATTTTTTAATATGAAATGTTAACATTCATATAGCACCTTTACGCAGATTGCGTAAGTGGCTAAGCATCACAACATTCTAACAGTAAAATACGTATGTATGATCTTCATTTTACAGATGAATGGACACAGGCAAAGAGGTTAAATGACAAAGATCAGAAAGCAAGTCTGTGCCAAAAAGTGGGAATAGAATCTAGATCTCCTGATTCCCATTCCTGTCTGTTAAAAGCACGTGACTAATGCTTCCTCGAGAACAGAACTCAAGAGTTTGATTTCCAATCCGCAACTCTAGCCACTAGACCATGTTGTTCGTAAAACCCTGATTTATGACCCTGGTGGGCAGAAAGCAGAAACTTAAAATCTCGTATGTCATGTTTTTAAATAACTGAAAATTTCGGTTCTCTGAGGCACCTATAGCTCCATAGAAGGAGGCACTACATTCCCACAAAATTTAGGAGAGCTTCTGCTGCCTGCACACCACAGGAATGGAGTCATGGACCATGCAATGCCAAGGATACAAGTGACCTTTAGTTAAACTAGCAGTTTCAATTAACTGAAATTCGCAAGAGAGGGGTTGTTTCAGGATTTTTAGCAGAGTTATTTTCCAAAAAATGTAGAACTAAGGAATCAAATCTTATTAATATTTTACATCATTTTACATGCTTCTCCCAATACCCACTATTTTCTAGTAGAAATTTGACTAGGAATAGCATTTAGCAGAGGGCTGTATGTGCAGAGTTAAAAAACCACTAAACTATTTTCCAGTGGAAATTAATACTTACCAGCAAAATATCCATGCACTACCCAAAATACCCAATACCTCATATATTTGAGTGTATCCAAATATACAAGATCATCTCATTTTGAACAAACTATTAGTACACCTCTCCTTTCCTCCCATCAAACTTACTGTGGGATTATTGCTGTTGCTTGTTGTGCTGAAAGGATCAGTGTCCACAGTCACAAAAGGATCAGTGGAGGATTGTTTGAAAAAAGAGTCAGCTGCAAAAGGATCTGAATCTTTGAAGGGATCACCATCAAAAGGATCTGAAGGAAAAAAATACAATGGACCTGTTAAAGGAATATTTCTTGTAAATATTTCCTGCTAGTTCTTTTTAGATTGAAGTCTTAAAAACAAATGTAATTTTGTACAGCTTCCTTCATATTACAGCAGAGAACCAGCTCCTCTGTAGTGAAGGTTGGTCATCACTTTCTGATTAAAGGCAAAGTCTTCTAAAGTGCTCTAAAATCCACATGCTTACTCAGATTGTCTTGAAATTTGCTGTGCCTCATAGGGGTGTGGGATAGTGTTAATGGCCCAAATATGGGGACCATTCAGCCAGGAATTTGGTAAAGAAGCCCCCTAAAAATTATTTTACAAAATCTAAAAAAGCTACTTTTTGGTCCACACCTGGGGCTAAAACCATGATTCTGATCCTCTGTAAACTGACCTCAGGCACTTGGGATTTAGCTCAACTAGTGTACAGCACCAACTACTCTTTTGGGGGGTTATACTGAAGTTATTCAGGGTAAAATTAGGAAAGTAGCTGGACCCAAAGGGAATTAAACGTTCACATCGAGCAAGACTAGGGCTCTGCTGAAACAACAGTGTTTGAAGTCAGCCCATTCTCACAGTGGTGGCTCAAGTGGTCATATTGTGGCCACTCACCCTGAGCTATACTTGTGTGTAAGTTTAAACCCTACCCTTGACAGAAATGGGAGAATGATCTGTAGGCATGTTGCTATATCTGCCTCTGTCGAGGAATTTTTATACCTTTGGGAAATATGTCCTGAGTAATATAGCTACTTTAGAAGGGGTCTAACTTTTTTCGGGGGCCTCTTCCTCAACCCCCATATAAGCCAGCGTGTGGGAGAATCCTACCCCTTTCAGGAGGGCTGAGCTCATCTTCCTACCCTGTGTCCTGTGATCTGTGATCTAGGGGCCCCTGCTCTTCACATCAGATATAAGCCCCTCTCCCTGACCCCCATGTGAGCCAGGATTTTGTGGGCTCTGCCGTTCTGGATGGGGAGCTGAGAACAGGCATGCTCTACGCATGCATGAAGCACTCACTACTGAGAATAGCTATGCTTGGTGCATAGCCCAGGCTTACAACCACGGATACTGGGGAGGGAGGAAATAAGAACACCTCCTGAGATGACTGGAGTAGTTCGCATATCTTAGAAATATTGTTTCAGGCTGTATTCATCTCCATGGGGCGTTGTCATTCAGCTGAGAACATCTTATTGAGATGAATGAATGGGCCATTTCACATCTCTCTAAGCCTCCTATGCAGCTGATGGATAGACTTCCCTAACTGTCAGGGTGGTTAAACACTGGAATAGATTGCCTAGGGAGGTTGTGGAATCTCCATCTCTGGAGATATTTAAGAGTAGGTTAGATAAATGTCTATCAGGGATGGTCTAGACAGTATTTGGTCCTGCCATGCGGGCATGGGACTGGACTCGATGACCTCTCGAGGTCCCTTCCAGTCCTAGAATCTATGAATCTATGAATACACTAGACCCAGATTTGAGGTAGGAACTCTGTCTTCACTCTCCTGCCTTTGCCTGCTTCCATCTGATAGAATCACAGAACTGGAAGGGACCTTGAGAGGTCATCTAGTCCAGTCCCCTGCACTCGTGCACTAAGTATTATCTAGACCATCCCTGTCAGGTGTTTGTCTAAACTGCTCTTAATCTCCAATGATGGAGATTCCACAACCTCCCTAGGCAATTTATTCCAGTGCTTAACTGCCCTGACAGGAAGTTTTTCCTAACATCCAACCTAAGCCTCTCCTGCTGCAATTTAAGCCCATTGCTTCTTGTCCTATCCTCAGAGGTTAAGAAAAACAATTTTTTCTTCCCCCCTCCGTGTAACAACCTTTTACATACTTGAAAACTGTTATGTCCCCTCTTAGTCTTCTCTTTTCCAGACTAAACAAACCCAATTTCTTCAATCTTCCCTCATAGGTCATGTTTTCTAGACCTTTAATAATTTTTGTCGCTCTTCTCTGGACTCTCTCCAATTTGTCCACATCTTTCCTGAAATGTGGCGCCCAGAACTGGACACAATACTCCAGTTGAGGCCTAATCAGTGCGGAGTAGAGCGGAAGAATTACTTCTTGTGTTGTGCTTACAACACTCCTGCTAATACATCCCAGAAGGATGTTGGCTTTTTTTGCAACAGTGTTACACTGTTGACATTCATTTAGCTTGTGGTCCACTATGAGCCCCAGATCCCTTTCCAGAGTACTCCTTCCTAGGCAGTCATTTCCCATTTTGTATGTGTGCAACTGATTGTTCCTTCCTAAATGGAGTACTTTGCATTTGTCCTTATTGAATTTCATCCTATTTACTTCAGACCATTTCTCCAGTTTGTCCAGATCATTTTGAATTTTAATCCTATCCTCCAAAGCACTTGCAACCCTTCCCATCTTGGTATCGTCTGCAAACATGATAGGTGTACTCTCTATGCCATTATCTAAATCATTGATGAAGTTACTGAACAGAACAGGACCCAGAACTGATCCCTGCGGGACCCCACTTGTTATGCACTTCCAGCATGACTGTGAACCACTGATAACTACTCTCTGGGAACGGTTTTCCCAACCAGTTTTGCACCCACCTTATAGTAGCTCCATCTAGGTTGCATTTCCCTAGTTTGTTTATGAGAAGGTCATGCAAGACAGTATCAAAAGCTTTACTAAAGTCAAGATATACCACATCTACTGCTTCCCCCGCATCCACAAGGCTTGTTACTCTGTCAAAGAAAGCTATCAGGTTGGTTTGACACTATTTGTTTTTGATAAATCCATGCTGACTGTTACTTATCACCTTATTATCTTCTAGATGTTTGCAAATTGATTGCTTAATTATTTGCTCCATTATCTTTCCGGGTACAGAAGTTAAGCTGACTGGTCTGTAATTCCCCAGGTTGTCCTTATTTCCCTTTTTATAGATTGGCACTATATTTGCCCTTTTCCAGTCTTCTGGAATCTCTCCCATCTTCCATGACTTTTCAAAGATAATCGCTAATGGCTCAGATATCTCCTCAGTCAGCATCTTGAGTATTCCAGGATGCATTTTATCAGGCCCTTGTGACTTGAAGACGTCTAATTTGTCCAAGTAATTTTTAACTTGTTCTTTCCCTATTTTAGCCTCTTCTGATCCTACCTCATTTTCACTGGTATTCACTATGTTAGACATCCAATCACCACCAACCTTCTTGGTGCTGTTTGCTCCAACCCTCTCCCCTTCTCCCCCTCACAGTCTCTCCCCCTTAGATTCACTCGATACATGCCCCTCTTATCCTCTTCTCCCCTGCCCCCCTCAGTTCCCTTCAGTGTCCTCTCTTCCTACACTTTATTTTCCATTTAGCTTATCCCTTCCTACCTATACCAACTAGAAAATATTAAATTGTGACACTAACATGACGCTTACTGCCATCATCTTGGTCACGCTGCTTTTGTGTTCTACCTCACTCCCCCATCATTTCTCTGTCTTGTCTATTTACATTGTATGCTCTTTTGGGCAGGGACTGTCTGATGTTCTATGTTTGTGCAGTGCCAAGCACAATGGGACCCCATTCTTGGTTGGGCCTTAGCCATTACCATAATAAACATGATTAATAACAAATTAAACAAATTTAAAACTTGGAAAACCAGAAATTACAAGTACATGCAAATTCTACTCAGCCCTCTTTGAGTGATGCCCCAACACGCTAACACCACACATACTAACAATTTACCCTTACAGATGCTACAATGTATGTTGCTGAAAACTTCACAGGGTGGCAGAAAATGAGGGGTAATGCTTTACAGAATAAGGACTCTGTGTAAATATTCAGTAGGATAAGTGACTGAGGGCAGCTCATTCTAATAGCCTGCACTGTTTTTAAATGCATTTCCCAGCTAAATTGAAACACTGCTTTATTGAACTTAACATTTAATCAACATTAGAAAAGTTACAAGAGACAGTATTGTTGGAACATTTCAAGTTGAAAATTGCTCCCAATTTCCTTTGATTCTGCACTCCATAATAACTTCCTCTAGAAATCTTACCTGCTAGTGAGAATCCTTATATTCTTGACTGTAATTACTCAATTCCAGCATGTAAAAGCAAACCTAGGGTTCTCTCCCTTCCTCTCTTAATGGGAAAGTTGATTGATGTGCTAACTCTTGGCAAACAGTCATTTGGACAGGCAATTCTTACAAAAAACCTGAGATCTAGAATCACACTATTCCAGTTCATCAGAGTTTGGATAGGATCATACAGCATGCAGAAACGTACTTTTAAAAAAAAAAAAAAAAACCTCTACAAGTTCAAACAAATGCATTAGGCAGCCTATTGCACTGATATAGTATCACATAAAGTTATATAAAAATAGTGACATTTAAAAATTCAGAACTTATATCTCTCAACGTAATGATCAAACTGGATCTGGTTTCCACTTCTGCTAAAAATGCTGTTTTTATTATCTAGAGAGTTTAGTTCACTTACTGAGAATAATCACCTGTAAGTTAGTTCAGGGTCTGGCAATGCAATGACACTGTCTGCACAACCATTCTAATTTGATGTGCTAGAGAAAGGTGCTGGATTGATAGCCCTCAAGATTAAAGTCCCAATTAGCTACAGGACAGATACTAAATGGGCACTGACAGCACAGTGTCACTGGCACCACTATCAGTGCGCCTCAAACCCAACTCTGGCTGTTTCTCATGGTGAAAGAATAGTTTGGTGTACATTGCTATTCAGTCCTTGGCCTTTCTGCAGACTCACATCCAAGGGCCAATTACAGCCAGTAGTAACGGGGCTAATTTGATGTGGACAACGTAGGGCTGGTCTACACTGCCGCGCTAGTTCGGCGGCTGGGGATCGAAGTTCCGAGTTCGATTTATCGAGTCTGGTCTGGTCGCGATAAATCGAACCAGGAAGTGACCCCCGTCGACTGCGGTACTCCAGCTCAACGAGAGGAGTACCGCGGAGTCGACGGGGAGCCTGCCTGCCGCGTGTGGACCACGTCTGAACCGCGGTAAGTTCGAACTAAGGTATGTCGACTTCAGCTACGTTATTCAGGTAGCTGAAGTTGCGTACCTTAGTTTGAATTTGGGGGTTAGTGTAGACCAGGCCTGAGTTAAACCTACTGAGCCCAAACATATTTAACACAAAGCTCTGTACATCCATCAAATGGTAGCTGTTTCAGGTCATTACTGCCTTGGTCAGATTCACAAGTGATTTAGATGTGAAAGTTTTCATATAATCCATTACCAATCCTATGAGACAGCTAGTCCTTCACACTAGATATTTACAAAGCATTAAATTTAAGAGCTTTAGTATCTACTTACCAACTTTCCCAAAAGGGTCATCCTTGAAAGGATCACCTATTTAAAAACATAAAAAAAAGAAAAAGCACTGAAATCTTTTAGCAAAAACATGCTTTCAACCGAGGGTCACTTCGTTGCAGATTCCTTGCAAGCTATAAAGGAATTTGCAACCCTTGCTTGTCGGAGTATTTCCTCTCACTTCAGTGGGACTACAATAGCTGGCATTAAAGTCAACATTTGCTAACAAATAACTGTTACCACTATTTCCTAGTGTAAGTATAGTCAAAGTGGTGATCTCCAAGATAACTCTGTGGTAACGGATAGTCAATGCTTAGATACCACAATATTTGCCTTCATATATGCTTAGAATACAAAATCATAGCAGTAACATCTATTGGAAAATCCTGAGTTTTTATAATAGGACTAGTGCAGTCTCACTAATGTGAAAGTTACCACTCCCTTGAGTTAGATTTACAGGACTAGGCCCAAAGTTTCCATAAAATAGAGCAGACTGAATCTGCCCTCCTCTTTAATACAGAAAGACAGCCTCTGGAGAACAGGTATCAGCATAAACTTCTCTCTGGGAGGAGACAGAAGAGGTGTGGATGGAGGAGCAGTTGCCATGGCTACTGCAAAAGCAAACCTCTCCTTTCACATTCAGTTTTTGAGACACTAATGGCTACCCTCTTCTGGTGCTTAGACTAAAACCCTCACAATGCACCGGTAGATTTCAGAGACCCCACCACAACTGCAGTCAATGGAAAACTATTCTACTACAAAACTCAATTCCAGTCCAAATACACATTAATTTTTAAGACACATTAATACAACTAACCCTCTTTCAGGAAATTCATGCTAACAGAAAAATCTACTTACTGCCAACAAAGGGGTCAGACTGGAAGAAGTCTAAATTGGCTTCTGTAACTTGATCAGGCAGAGGATGAGATTCTGTAGCAAATGGATCTTCCTAGGGGGAAAAAGTATGAAAAAACATTTGCCTTTTGAAGTTTAGAGAAATAAGGATACTAAAATTTAAAAGACCAACTACAATTCTACTTAATTCAGTGATGGACAGCTGAAAAGTCAGTCAACAGAAATCTTCAGTATACCAAATGAAAAAAAGTTTTCCATACATTCATACCCAAAATTAAAAGCAACTGTAGAAATCAAAGTGATGACAATAAGTGTTTTATGGTCATGGGGCGTCTCAGTGATTGGAAATGAACATAATCCATCTCAAACAATGTGAAGATTTCTTGCTATATTCTGTTTTTAAATCTGTACAAACCCACTTTTTTGTTAACAGTTGCAGTCAGGGTCTCTTTCTCGTCTCCAATAGCAGCATTTGTTGTTTCAGGGCTATTCCTTACCTATTACAACAAACAAGAACACTGACATTCACATATGACAAGATTCTATCCTCTAGAATATGTAAGGGTTTCTGTATCAGAGATGGAATATACTTCAATAAATGACTATGCCAACTATATAATTGTAAAACACACCTATTAAAAAGGAACAGATCTACTGAATATTGATTTTCCATATGCCAAATTGACACAAAAACATACTGTAGCCTATTCAAATACCTAAAGAGAGAACACATACCCTTATGGACCAAGAGCATCTTTATATTTTGTAACATTATGAAATGCTTAGAGAACTCTGAAGATGCAGCGAAAGCCAAGAACCCAAGAAAAAAGGCAGTTCAGCAAGCAGAGCAGCTTTAGGGCATGGCTACACTTGCAGATGTAGAGCGCTTTGAGTTAAACCAGCCTTCATAGAGCGCAGTAGGGAAAGCGCTGCAATCTGTCCACACTGACTGCTTCAAGCGCACGGGTGTGGCCACATTTGCGGCACCTGCAGCGGCATTGGGAGTGGTGCTTTATGGGCAGCTATCCCAGCATGCAAGTGACTGCGTGATTATAAAATGGGAGGGGTGGGAGTGTGACGGAGTGTGTTGTGTGTATGTGGGGGGAGAGTGTGTCGGTTTTTGGGGGGCTGAGAGCATGTCAGCGCGCTGTCTTGTAAGTTCAGACAGTAACAGACCCCCCTCCCCGCCCCGCCCCCCCCACCACACACACACACACACACACACACAATTCCACAGTAACGGCTTGCACGCCGGCTGTCAGAAACGGGGCTTTGAAAGGGCATTTCCGCATTCCTACAGGAGTTCAAAACAATGACAAGAGTGGCCACTCGACTTAAGGGGATTATGGGACATTTCCGGAGGCCGATCAGAGCACAGTAAAGCAACACCTCGTTCACACTGACGCCTGGGCGTTGTAGCCAAGGCGCAGCAAACGTTATTCCACTCGCCGAGGTGAGTGCCAGCAGCGCTGTAGCTGCGGAGTCAGAGCGCTCTACGTGCCTTGCCAGTGCGCCCGGGGCTCCTTTATTGCGCTGTAACTCGCAAGTGTAGCCAAGCCCTTAGATTTCAGTACTATTTCTCATTCTGTCCATGCTACCTAAGTTGTAGAAGATTGTTCTCCTTTTGCGCACAGGGAATATCAATTCAGATCACTAAATTTATGAGAGACTTGTTTTGGTGACAAAGTAAACTTACTACATAGTCACTTGTCATCCAAATGAAAATTGCCTGCTCTCATGATACTCATCTTCCAACAAAATGAAATATGATCTTTGATAAAATGACTGATTTGTTGTGCCTTTTAAAAAAAAACAAACAAGTTCAGCTTTACTACATCCCTAACTCACTCAGATATCACTACTGTACTATATAATAACTAAGAAGGCAATCAAAACTCTTTACTCACTGGAGACTCGTGGTTTATTTGTTCAGCTTCTGCTGAACTCTCCCTTTCAGCATTCTCATTAAGGTTAGCAGCTTCACTGCTGCTGTTGCTAAGACTAGAATGATCTGCAGTTCCATTAACAAGTAGGTTGTGTGGGTGAGAGTGCCAGTTAAATTGGTTATTTTCCAATTCTTTCAGCTCAAACAGTTTTGTTTCCATCTGCAAAGAGAAAGCATAAATACATATATTCGTATAGCAGCAGGAGAAAATAGCACATACTTTTCTGCTTACACATGGGAGAGAGAGAATGCAGTATGTACCCGAAATTACTGTTTTCTGAAAGTGAGGAATAAGAGCCACACTCTTGGGTTTCAGCCTCAGGTGTGAGGTTCAGAACATGATTAACAAAAAAATTTAGAAGAGGAGAAGCCATGTGGTCTAAGAACAGAACTAGATGCTAAGAACTCAGATAAATCCCACTTCTAACAAGAACTTAGTTTATCGAGTTGGATAAATCACAACCTCTCTCACACTGTTTCCCCACTTGGGAAACACCACCCTACCTCATAGGGGTATTGTGAGGAGTAATTAACATTCGTGAAGTACTTTGAAGATATGCAGCAGTATTACCAGCAGAGTCACAGATCCCATTATCCATGAGCACAGTTAAGCTGCATTAGTCCCCAACTGTTATTCTTTTGTTTTTAACAAAGAAAAGACAAAATTGCAAAGCCAACATCTAGCAGAATTCCCACTTTAAGAGAACAAAAATTACACATTAGTCATCTTCTCCAAAGGTGAGTTAATAGACATTTTTAAAGACCAAAAAATCTCATGGGATGTCACCATAAGGAGATCTATATTCACATCTACCTATCTATCTGTACCATTTGTTACACTTATATGCATAACTGTAGCATCATAGCACCTCACAATCTAAAGCATTTATCTGCACAACCACCCTGTAAGGTAGGGAAGTATTATTCCATTTTACAGATGGGAACTGAGGCAGACAAACTAAGTCATTTGTCCAAGGTCACAAAGGAATCCTGTGGAGGAGTAGGAAATTCAACCAGCATCTTCTGAGTCCCAGGCAAGTACCTGAACCATTGGACAATCCTGCCACAGCCACCAATGTACTTTCTGTACATTCTTTGTAAGTGGGGGTAGAGGGGGAAATCAGGAAGACCAAAAGAAAATATGAATTCAAAAATCTGTTAAAAAAAAGATTGCTCCTTATTGCAAGAAAAATACAACGAACCACTCAAAAATAAATGTGAGGGACAGATACTCTCTTAAGCGCCTCTTTGCTAATGGAAGAAAAGGAATAAGCAGCTGGAGACAAAGACATTCTCTCTCAACCTGGGTTCACATACCCTGTGATGCAACAATGCCATGTACGTTTGTTTGCTACTCACCTTCTAAACTGCATTTTTTTTTTCCATAGATGCTAGGACTGGAAGGGACCTTCAGCCTATGGCTGAAATCAAGGAGTGTGGATATACTGTACATTATCTCTAAAGGAAAATATACATTTTTATTACTGTATATACTCGTTCATAAGCCAAATATTTTTGGTAAAAAAATGACGCATCAAAGAGCGGGGGTCGGCTTATAATCGGGTCTACACCAAAATTTGATGATTTTAAACTCTATGGAATCACAATTGAATATCTAATACATTGTTATTTTGTTTACCTGGAGTGTCTGTAGGCATGGAGCAGCCACTTCCCACAGCTCCTATTGGCTGGGAACGGCGAACCGTGGCCACAGGGAGCTGAGGGGCTCCATGCCTGCAGACGCTCCAGGGTAAACAAAACGTCCCGACCCGCCAGCGGCTTACCCTGACGGCCGGGAGCCAAAGTTTGCCAACCCCTGAAATACAGGGTTGGCTTATGAAAGGGTCATACAGTTTTTGCTATTTTTACCTAACCATCTTGGGGGCCATCTTATAAACGAACGGGCTAATGAACGAGTATATACAGTAATTCACATGAAGTGAGGCTTAACACCAAAAATAAAAATGTAAGCGTACAATAACGACATAGCGATGATGGCTGTAAAACTCCCAACATTAAATTGCCGGGTTAAAAACTAGAACAGTGGGGGCGAAAGACCTCTCTGGCTTTAAGATTAAGCTTGATAAGTTTATGGAGGGGATGGTTTGATGGGATAACGTGATTTTAGTCAATAGGTCAATAACGCGCCATCGCAGGTAATTAGTATCAATGGTCAATGCGGGTCTGGCTGGAGAATCTTGCCCGCATGCTCGGGGTTCTGCTGATCGCCATATTTGGGGTCGGGAAGGAATTTTCCTCCAGGGTAGATTGGCAAAGGCCCTGGAGGTTTTTCGCCTTCCTCCGCAGCATGGGGCAGGGGTTGCTTGCTGGAGGATTCTCTGCGACTTGAAGTCTTTAAATCATGATTTAGGGACTTCAACAGCTGAGTCAAGGGAGAGAATTATTCCAGGAGTGGGTGGGTCAGCTTTTGTGGCCTGCATCATGCGGGAGGTCAGACTAGATGATCATAATGGTCCCTTCTGACCTTAAAGTCTATGAGTCTAAATTAAGATTTTTAGGTTCAAAGCTAAAAAACAGACTTACCCATGGAATTCAAAATAAAAAATATCTGGTTTGTATATTAGCAGAAGTGGCTGTGCCTTAACCAAGCAGGAAGAAGGACCCTGACCATAGTGCTCTCTAGCATGAAAACCAAAGCCGCATTAACAGTGGCCTCTAGAGGTGCACTTCATCTTTCTAGTCAAATGAGAAGTACCCTGCTAAAAACTGGTAAGACATTCAGAGAGAAAGAAAAACAGCAAAAAACAAGGATGCATATTAGCTACACTGATGTCCAGGAGTAGCACAAGGAAACAGAGTCAACCACTAGCAAAAATAAAGTTGAGTGTGAGTGTGGGTGTGGGGGGAAGCAGAGAAATAAAAGGGGTTTCAGACCTACAGTATAACCAGAGGGGCACTAATTCAACTCAGTGATTGCAAATGGAAGCTACAATGCTCTTTTTAAACAGAACCCTGAATAAATATTGTACATATGGAGCACGTGTGTGCACAGTGGCTAGTGCACCAGTTTACCACCTCTGGATAACTAGTCTCAAACACAAATGAAAATACATTCGATGGTTCTCAGTTTAATCCCATTTATGCAATCATAGAAGAATACGACTAGAAGGGACCTCAAATTCAGTGCCCTGCACTCAAGGCAGGATTAAGTATTATCTAGACCATCCCTCACAGGTTTTTGTCTAACCTGCTCTTAATCTCCAATGACAATGCTCCAAATCACAATACCAACATAAACCTTTGAAGTTTCTACTCAAGATGTGTCAATGACCAGAATAGCAAAGGCTGTCCTGGGTCAGGACTGGAGTACAAAGCTTAGATAGCATCACTGACTTGAGCTAAGTATAGTATGGGCAGCTGCTAGTTCCTCACTTTCAAGAAATTTTCTTATAAAATTATTATTTTATTAAGTAAAATGTACATTGTAATATAAATGAGGCCCCTGTATCATCCAAAACATAAGCTCATTGACCTTGGAGACTTTAATAATAGAAATACCATAGCTCGCATAGCATCATCTGATAATTAATATCAGACTACAGTAATATTAACCAGTTAGTAGGAAACAAAATTTGTATAAGGAAGCAAAAGAAAAATGAGCAAAGTAAAGGGAAAAAACCCCAAAAGGGGTGTCTTCTTATGATATATTAACATTTGTTGATACTTTTCCGCAATGCCTTACTGAAGTGATTTCCTGTTGTGTATCCTGCAGATGCTGCTGAAGAGGTCCCAGCTGTGCTTTCCCCGACGCTACGCATTGCTCTAGCTCAGCAGTTTCTTGCTGCAGGCGACTTAGCTCCTCTTGAGCTTTGGTCAGTTCCTCCTCATATGTTGAGATCTTAGATTCCTGACTCATTACTTCAGCCTTCAGTGAGGCAATCTGCGGAATGAAGGAACACTTCATTAGTTAAAACCAAATCCAATTAAAATAGGATATGTTTATCAGAAGCTACTTTCAAATACCAAAAAATAATCAGGAAAAATCCCAGCTGCAATTACTGTATGTTTCCCACTGGAGATTTAAGGCCATATCGACGCTAATATTAAACCAGAGGTAGCCAAAAGTGGGTTTAAATATCATCATGGCTAACAGGATTTTAGCATGGTTTCCTTGACAAACCTGGACAGATTTTTATATTGATAACACCGTTAGGATGCTATACCTAGAGGGGATAGTTTAGATTCTCGCTATAGATTATCTGGAGTTGATAGCCTATACTACAGTTTACAGAAAAAGCATCTGTCTACATTGCTCAGTGAAAGTGTCAGAATGCTGCTAGCTACAACTGTAGTTAACACAAGGATAGTCAGCATGTTTTCAACCCTAGCATGGGCAGGGCCTATATGTAACAGGGAATCACTGAACTGCATGATGTTTTCCCCACTTATTGCTCCTCACCCAGCCCTAAGTATCTCACTGTTTTCTCCTACTCAAGCTATGCTCCTCTCCCAAAACACAGTCCCTCATTAAAAGGGCTATTTTCTTCCAGTGGAGGGCTGGAGCAGACTCCCATCAATAAGGGTCTCAATTGAAAAGGGGGACTACTATGCATATAAACTACCAGAACATACCAAATGGGCCTCTTCAGCACATTTCTGCCTGATATCATTAAGTTGCTCCTCTAACTTGGCTTTTTGCTCATCAAGGCCATTAAGGATTTCCTGTGCTTCCTGTTTCTGAGCTTGCAGCTTCTGTAGAGTACTGCTCTCCCTCTTCACTTCACATTGAAGATCCTGCAGAGAAACATTTTTGTCAGTTTCTTTTCCTTGGCCACTGAAAAGGAGTTACTGCATTCCTCTCACTGCAGAGCAATAGCTAGAGCCATAAAGGGACAGAGTCAAAATGCTGTTAACTTTTTAAAAAGTTGAAAAAAATCAAGGCAGAGATTCCAAAATTATAGCCCCAACTGAAATATAGTAAAACACTTCTTGAAAAAATTATGAAATGACTCTAGAATTACTATTTTCTATCTTCAAGGCACTTTCACAAAATAAATGAATCCTCAGCATTTTAGTAAGGTAACGTCCAGATGCGGCAACAAAGATTGACTGGTTTATCCAAAAAGACAGTTGGGATCAGAATTTAAAATCTAGAGCCCTCCTCTGCTCATACCACTAGATTACATCCATCTGATGCTTTAATTATATTCTAATATACTAATTTGTTTAATTTCTTGGTAATAATGGAAATCTTACCAGCTCAACAAGTGATAATTTCAGTTTACAGAAAGCAAGAGTTAGCATATTTAATATTAATATTCTATAGAGGCATACCTATGGAGTCTTGCTTTTGCAGGACACCGGGCAATTGGTCAGGCTTTGAGAAATGTCCTGCTGTCTTGTGTTGCTTCATGATGGTTCTGTATTTACTCCTCACCCATTTGCAACCTGCACGCGGATCATGTGATGCAGAGCCCAAGCAGCTGAGCCCATCTCCTCTGCTGGGCTGGCACAGCACACTGCTCGCTGCAGGTCGGGTTGAACATGGGTTGCAGTGAGTGGATTGCACATCTGTCCTTGTTCCCCTGACTTTCACTGCACTCTCCCAACAACTCCCAGAGCTTCCGGTTTCCTCCTTTTGACACTCCCGCCCATCCACCATTGGCCAGACCAGCCCCATACTACGATTGCCTACACCAGTGGTTTTCAAACTGCGGGTCGTGACCCAGTAGTGGGTCGCGGAATGTAAGGCACTGGTCAGCACTGCTGACCGGGACATTAAAAGTCCTGTCGGTAGTGCTGCCCGGCTAAGGTAGGCTAGTCTCTACCTGTTCTGACACTGTGCTGTGCCCTGAAACGGCCAGCAGCAGGTCCGGCTCCTAGGTGGGGAGCTCACGGGCCTCCATATGCTGCCCCCACCCCAAGTACTTGTTCCCAGCCAATGGGAGCTCAGGGGGCAGTCCCTGCAGGCAAGAGCCACAAGGAGCCACTTGCCCGCCTCCGCCTAGGAGCCAGACCTGCTGCTGGCCGCTGATGGGGTGCAGCGCAGTCCATGGTGCCAGGACAGGCAGGAAGCTTGCCTTAGCACCCCCGCTGCACGGCTGACCGGGAGCCGCCCAAGGTAAGCCCGTACTCCAACCCTGCACCCCAATCCCCTGCCCCAGCCCTGAGCCTCCCCCCAAACCCGGAGCCCCTTGCTGCACCCGAAGCCCCTCATCCCCGGCCCTACCCCAGAGTGTGCACCTCTAGCCCAGAGCCCTGACCCCCTCCCACACCCAACCCCCCTGCCCCAGCCCAGAGCCCTGTCCCACAACCTGAACCTTTCCTTACCGGCCCCACCACCCAGCCCTCACTCCTGCACCCCAACCCTCTGTTCCAGCCCTGAGCCCCTTCCACACCCCAAACTCCTCATCCCCAGCTCCATTGGGTCATGGGCATCAACAATTTTGTTCAGCTAGGTCGCCAGAAAAAAAAAGTTTGAAAACCACTGGCCTACACAACAGACTCCTGACTAAGGGGAGGGTGGGATAAACAGTCCCGGAGAAAGGGAAGGGCTGGGGCTGCCTGAAATCAACCTGCTTAAAGTAATATTGTGAAGGCTAGAAAATCAGGGGTAAATGAAGGGAGAAAGGAACTGGGGACATTTAGGGTGTAATGGGGAGAAGCTTGAAAATGTCATTTTTGGTGATGTTGGGAAGTTACTCAGAATTGCCGTAAACTGACTTCCAAATTTTGTCTGGTCAAAATTAGCTTATGATTAATAGAGCTAAAAAACAAAACCCTGTTGGGTTTTGCAAGGAAAAGTGCTTTTATCTCTGAGATCAATCCCACATCCAAGCTTTTAGAAATGAAGAAATTTACCTCTGAGTTACAATGTGTGAGAAGACCCATGAACCTACACAGAGCCCAGCCTGCTATATATGAAATTCTGAGAACTGCCTTCTACATAGATCTTACCCTTTTCTACTACTGCATTTACAGGTAACACTTACTTTCATTCCATAAACACTAGACTGGTAAATATGCTGTATTTTTAAGGGTATTGATCTGCTGTATAATATCTAGTATCCAATATGCTTTTGAAGGACTCTCTTTTAGAAGCAGCTTATTAGTACTTTCTTAAGTAAAAAAGTCAGTCACTTCTCCAAGAAATTTACAAATGTTACTTCTACCTTAAATCTACTCCTCACCTTTTTGTATGTTACATTTATGGATTTTTCTAATTTATATTTTATTATGTATCTAATAGGTATGTCTGTGGTGCCCACCACTGTAATTTCTGTGCACCTCACAAAAAGAAGAAAGTTATCCTTGCTGCCCGTGAGTGGCAAAGGAGTGCCATCTCAAAGTTACAGGTGAGGAAATCAGGGCAGAAAGGATGAGTGACTTGCCCAGCATTATACGAATGGCAGAACCAAAACTAGAACCAGATCTCAAGATTCCCATTACAGTGCCTTAAGAAGGCTATCTTTTCCTATGACAAATGACCACAATTTAAATCCCTCCATAAAAATACTCGTTCTGATCAGTAATTATTATTTATACTGCAGTAACACTTAGAGACCTCAATCAAAGATCAGGACCTTATTGTGCTATGCGCTGTACAAACACGCAATTAAAAAAAAGGCAGGCCTACCCCAGAATTAATTATTTAAGTTTACCTATTAAAATGAGCACTTCGTGTGCAACAGTAATCTCAGTTCACTGCCCAGTTAACTCTCATCAGATGGCAGTGTACTGTAGGCATGAGAGGAGAGCAGAGCCTACAAGTGGGAGTTGAAGGAAGATCTGGTGATCGCTCTAAATTTTGATGGGAAAGCTTTTCTTGCTCGAAAAGAGGTGGCATGGAAAAAAATGCAAAGGTGCTTCAACAAGCAGACAATCTAGGCTTGCATTTTTGGAAGAGCAAAGGTAAAGGTTGGTGGCTCAATAAAATGATAGATCTGATAAGAGGGGCTAAATGGTGAAATACCATAAAAGCAAAGGTGTTTTAAGCAGAGGAGAAGGAAGTAGAGTGATACAAATATGGGGAGGATGTGGTCAGGGTTAGGTGTCAGGAAGATGATTAAACAATCCTCTATCATTAAGAAAAAGCTCAGTATAACTGAGATTGCGCCTTCATCTGCTCAAGTAACTGTTTGAACTCTAACTCTATGCTCTTGTCTGCCTAATTTACTGTAAATGGTACACTCATTTTAACAGCAAACTGGATTAGTGAATCTTTCTGTTTTCATTCACGTGTTAGGTAATTCAAACCAATTTGCCAACATCTCCCTCTTGCTAATTAGCTGAACTCCTTTGACTGAAGGGCCAGGTTCCTTTCGGTAACTGACTCCAAAAGCCCAGACATAAAATTTTCTTCCTGAGCTGCAGATGAGTAGCTTCGTGGGAGTTTTTTAGATTTAGATTTATAACCATTCCTAATTTCCATAAGACTCATTCTTACTAGCAAGAACCACATGGAGAGCAGCGAGCTGATTCTTCCTTGCCCCCAGACTTAGAATGCTGCTGCAAGCTTTAGTCTACTTCCTGGACCCAGGCTGAGAGGCTCCTCCCTGAACCCCTGCCTCATATCCTTGGCCCCCACCCACTGTGCTTCTCAGAGACTCACCAAAATGCTAGAAACTGGCCAGTCCTGCAGTTGTAAAACCTCAGAGTTAGCTAGTTTCTTAAAAAAACAGCTAGCACAACGCTGTTCCCAGTGCTGAACTGAGCCAAAAAGTTATACTTTGCTATAGTAGTCCTTTCCTCACCGGAACATCAGTTATGCTCTAGACATCCCACAAACCAATGCTGTAATTTATCACATACACCTCTTACTCCTGAGGGCATTCTGCACCAAAAATTTAAAAATTCTGCAAGTTTTATTTGTCAATAAATAAATGCAGAGGCTCCAGCATGGCAGTGGGGAGCACAGGCCACTGGCTGCACGAAAGTGGGAGATCACCCTGCAGCTCCCCCACCACCGGGACACAGACTCAGTGGTCAGACTGCACCCAACCCTGACACAGCACAAGGCCTGGACCTGCCCCAGAAACATCCTGGGGCCCTGCCCCTCTGCGCCAGGTGCAGGGCAGGCAGGCTCAACCAGGCGGGATCCAAGTGTGGAGGGGCTCAATGTGGGGGGAATCCAGGTATGGGGTGACAGGATTCTGTGTGGGACAATCTGGGTGTAGGCAGATCACTGGGGGAGGTCTAGGTGTTAGGGGATCTGGATGCACAGAGGCTCATTGGGGGGGTTCCAGGTGCAATGGGACTCTGCATGAGGTTCCAGGTGAAGGTGGTTGGGGCTCAGCAGAGTGGTCTGGGTGTCTCAGCAGAGGTGTCTGGGTGCTGGGGGAGTGGGGCTTGGTGGGATGGGGATCTGGGTGCAGCTAGTTGGGGGTCAGTGGCATGGGGTCTGGATGTGGGGGCTCAGAGAGGTGGGGCTTGTCAGGGTTTGAGCGCAGGGAGCTCAGTGGGGGGGTGGTTTGGGTACAGGGGTCCAGAGACAGGGGACTCAAGATGCAGGGGTTGAGTTTCGGTGGCTTTGGGTATGGAGGCCTGGGGATGGGGGTGAGGTTCTGGGTGTATGGGGTGAGGCTTGGCAGGGGTGTCTGGTTATTTATGGGAGGTCCGGATGCATGGGGATTGGGCGGATGGAAAAGCAGCTCCCCATACAATGACCCTTCCCTCCCCAGCTAAGGAGCAATGGGGGCAGGAAGCAGGAGAGGATGCTGAGCTTCCTGCAGCTGGGGGAAGTTTCTGGGGGTGGGTCTGACACAGACACAGCCACTCCTTGCAGGGGAGGAGGA